TGCCCAGAAGAGGCGGGGCTATGAAGCAGTTTAGCCAATTGCTGGTTAAAGATGTAAATGTGTGACATACAATTTAGCCAATCAGCGTCCTCAAATACATTCAGCTTCTGCCCCAAGCTGCGCGTTCCCGTCCGGACGAGTCTCTGCAGGCGAGCGCTAGCGCGGCTGCAGCGTCCAATCACATGACTGATGAACAATAAGGGGGCGTGTCAGCCGTTAAAACACTTCCTGGAAGTCTGTTCTCGTGGGTCCTCGCTCATGGCGAGGATCGAGGAGCGAGGAATCCTCGAGGAATTCTCGATTCCGGTTTCAACCGGTTTCAACCGGAAGCGATCCAAACTTGAACCGGAAGTTGAAACCGGAAGCGTTTGCTGAAATTGATTGGCTGTGGCACAGCTCTACCTAGAACATGTTCCACCAGCTGCCACTGATATATATATGCATATTTAAACTGATGCTTACTCCTAAAAAGAACAGAAAATGTATTAGGATTATTATGACAATAAACCCTGAAATCACACACGCCTTTCTTCAGGTAAAAGTCACAGTGAGGCTCAACTCACATCAGCGGTTGAAATTAGACAAATAACGTTTTTCAAAGTTAAAGTCAGTTCAGGACTAAACTCTTTCTCTGCCTCATTAAACCTGCAGCACAGCTGAATAAAAAACACACAAAGAGGGAATTTCATTCTGAAAAAGAGACTACAGCCAGACTGTTGAGGACTGAAACTGGCTTTGGACAAAGTTTTAAAGACGTGTTCGTACAGAAGAGGACTGAGGATTTCCCCGATCACTGATATTGATTATGAACGGATCTCTTCATGAATATGAAAAGGAGGGATGATAATGTGATTAAGACCTGCAGCACCTGACTGTTGATTCAAGACAGACTTAAGAAATTCAGTTACATTAATGTAAAATGTGAATGTGTCTGAAGATACTAAACCTGTCTGTCTTCTTAATTTATATTGATTTAAACTTAGATTACACATCCTTGATCACTTGTAAATTGACTTTCTTCGGTTTATGTTGGTGAAATAATCCACTCTGTCACCACCGGGCTGCAGCATTGATCTGCAGTGAAATCAGCAGCTTCATCCCACATCGCTCCACTCACAGTGCAGCTGTAATCTTCCTCTGTGTTTAATCCCATTCATTCAATCCGCCCGGGCTGTGTGAGGGGATTCCAAGACGTACACCATGACAGCAAGTTTGTGTTATTCTCATTCAAAAAGAGACATTTTTTTCATGTGCAATAAAACGTGTTAATCCGCATGTGAGAGTGTACAAATAAGGTGTGTATGATGAGTATTTATTTTTAAAATAAAAGCTGAATGAATGTCTTATCCTACAGAGACATACACTTGTTCTTCAATACTTTAGAAATATATTTATAGAAATATCTTTTCCCCCTTTAACATGCAGAGCTATGCAAGCGGAATTTACGAGGACCCTTGAATGCAGCATTTGCCGTTATTTTGACCTAAAGTAAAAAAAATCGATAATCACCTGATGAGTGAAAATATTTACTTATGAAATAACAGTTAACAGTTAATCTGTTCAATGATCATATGAAACATTCAACTCTTCAACTCACACCGTGTAAGCAGAGGTTAGCTTTATAATCCTGGTTCATATGTAGCTAACAGCTAACATTAGCTAACAGCTAACATTAGCTAACCTAAGCTTGTTGTTGACTAGTGTTTATTAAACTAAAGACATTTTAGCTGCAGTTAGTTCTCACCTGCGTTATTTATTTGAGCTGGTGATGGTGTTCACTTTATTCAGAACTGGTTAAATGTTATTTCTGCTTCTCGATTTGTTTTCAAGTATAGTTTATAGTTTGTTAAGCTGAGTTAGCTGAGTTCTGAGCTAACTAAGCTAAATTAAACTATAATAAACAGCTAGCTAACTAAGCTAAGTTAAACTATGATTAATAGCTAACTAAGCTAAGTTAAACTACGATTAACAGCTAACTAAGCTAAGCTAAGTTAAACTATGATTAACAGCTAACTAAGCTAAGCTAAGTTAAACTATGATTAACAGCTAGCTAAGCTAAGTTAGCTTACATTAGCTCTCTGTGGTTGTATTGTGAGACAAATAAACCTTTGTGATTAACAAACTACCAGTAATTTAAATGTCTTATTTTCACATTTGCAGAAACATTACGTCAGAATAAAAGAAGCAGTGTCGATGGCAGAAAAAACGATTCCACTAATATTAAACAAGAGGCCAGCGAACAAGGTAAGAAAAGCTTTCCTGAGGAAAACTATTCATTTACAAATGATATACTTTTTATTTTAGTAGTTTAGAAGTATGTGGGAATGTGTGCCAGAGTCCCTCTAATTAATACAAAAATATTTATAATAATTATTTTTTGTGCAGGATTAGATTTTTAGATTCTAGGGCTGCAACTAACAATTATTTGAATTGTTGATTAATCTGTAGGTTATTTTCTTGATTAATCTAAAAATGGTTTGATCTATAAAACGTCAGTTTACTGTCACAGAAGAGTAGAGAAACTAGTAAATATTACCCAATCAATCAATTATATAAAATGTTAGGGATTCATTGAATGATAAGACGACTAACTGATTAATGGTTGCAGCACGTACTTAATGTTTTAATGCAGCCAGTCTCTCCCTCATTGTAATAGACAGAATGTACTCCTGCCAATCAGGAAAAGTCTCCAACAAAGAAGAGAAAGTCTCTCTCTACGCCGTCCCCTGTGGAGTCAGCAGATGTGTTCGAGGCAGCAGCTGCAGGTCTGATGTACACTTTACTGCCAGTCACACAGAATACGGTTGTATTGGGAACAACTGTTTTCTTAATGTAATAAAAAGAAAAGAAAGCAAACAGGAAGTTAGAGTTCAGTGAGCCATCAACTAAAGAGGAAAGGAAATGTGAACAGTGTTTTGTAAACAACTTCTGTGAATTGAAAAGCGTGGTTCAACAGTGCATTAAAGTCGTTGTTGTTCACACTGTTCACAGACCACATTAAATAATTGGGTGTTCAGCTGTTATAAATCTGCAGCATCCCTGCTGTTGTTTTGCTCTTCTCTGTTACAGATGCAACTAAAGACGTCAGCATGCTGTTTTCTAAATTTGCTGAAGTGTTAAGGTCAGTCGTATTTCAACAACTAGTTTAGATTTTTACAAAGTTGTGATCCTTAGTCGCTCGGTGTACTCGTGATTGTCTGTTATAGTGAAACGCTTGAGAAAACTGTGCTCACAGAAGTCAAAAGTTATCTTAACGAAAGACAAAGTTAATAGAGCGGATATGAGCGAAACCACAGATATGGATTGCACAGTTTGCCACAAGGTGGATTAAAATCAAAATCAAAAGGAGATTAACGTTGAACCCGGTCATGAAACATTCAGACTGTTCTCACACGGCAGTTGTAGCTATTTCCTGCTACGCTGTAGATATCCCACGAAATCAACGTAATCATGAACCAGGAAGTATGAAGACCACAAAAATGTGTCCAACAAAGACCGTTGTTTGTTCCCCGTGTGAAACTAGAAGTCCACGTTGATTTATTACTTAAATAATCACACTTCAGTAGTTATTTTAACCCAAAACACAATCTTTTCCTAAACCTAACAAGGACATTTTCTTACCTAAACATAACTACATTGTTTTCTGTAAAGACAGAAGTTTATTTTGAAAAGACTGCATTCATGTACGGAGCAGAAATCGCCTCGTGTTGCAGGACTTTTAGGAAAACGCAAAATATGTGGAGGAACTTCCTTCGTAAGATATCATAGCAGCCGTTTTATGAGGACACGTTGGAAACATCCGAGGTCCCAGAGGATGAACCCTGATGACTTTTTTCATTTAAGTGCCATAAACAATTGACACACACACACACACACACACACTTGTCTTGAAGTCCTTGTTTGTGGTTGTTTGCAGTGAGATAGCTGCAGCAGACAGCGACCAGATGAAGGAGCTGGAGAGCATTCTGACCGAAGCTCAAAACCTCGAGTCGTATCTGAAAGAGAACAAGAAGCATCTGAGACAAACGTTGTCTCAGATCTTTGACAAGCTGCATGAATAGCTCATCTATTCTTCCACAGTTCATATTAACTAATAAGAGACACTAATATATGTTAACTGTTATGAGTTTTAGTAAAGAAAAACTGCTTTTGAATTGAATATTTCTCCAAAAAAAAAGTACATTTTGTGATTATTTCTTCCGTAAGCAGAAATGTTTGTATTACTGTTTATAAAGAATTAAAGTGCCCATGAAGTAAGACAGACTTCTACATGTTGTCATTATTTAAAGCTACACATCCACCAAATATAAAACACAAAGAGAAGGAATTCAAAAGAAACGCTAAGAGTTGTCACACTTCCACGTCTCTTTTCACACTTCTCGTGTGTTTCTAAGCAGAGGGAGCACGTGCACCACGCTCAGTTTCATAAACATATAGACGAAAACAATTCATGAGAAATATTTACAACTTGTAATAATTATTGATTTCAGTGACTGAAATGTCCAGTTTCTATAGAATAATGTAAGTATGTATAGTATTCCAATTACATCAATACAATATTAATATTTTACACTGTAAAGTTTATCTGTACTTGTGTTATGTAATATCTACCTTCAGTTAACAAGCACACATTTATATATATAATTATTACTACAAGGAGAAAAGAATGAATGCACACAGACGGGATGTTTAAGTGAAGTTTTGTTTATTTAATGTTTCATGTCATGCATTTAAAAATGTACATTTTAACCCGAGTCATACACAAGTCATTCATTAATCATTCATCTGTATCAACATCTTCTTTCTCCAACATGTGGGTGCTGAAGCTATACATTCTCTTTATCAGCTCCCCGTTCGTGCGAAACAGAACGCAATAAAGATTCTCTGAACTTCAACTGAACCTGAACCTTTTTTTTCTGTCCTTTAAAATATATTTATTGCAATATTCTCTATTTCAGCAGCCCTCATCTTAACACGTATTTAAATTACAATGTTCAAAGCAACGGTTTATAAGTATACAAAGAACAACGTACATCTTCAATAACACAGTTACAATATGAATAAACTCTTCTTCATACATTCATGTCTGCGAAGTAAAAGAAAAGTCTGCTAAATGACCTCTAGAACAACTCTTGAGACAGACGATATTTACATCGTTCATAACTTTTCTTTCCAATCCGTGTTTTTTAACTTGGGATTCCGCACGTTTACGCCGTGGCGTGGAACGTGCCGTGGAACCCGTAGGGGATGTTGACGGGCACCGCGGCTCGGCCCAGCTCCTCAAACGTCCTGGCATCTAAAACCAGCAGGAATGTGCTCTTGTCCTGGAAAAGAATTCAGATTTTACATCACTATTCATATATTTGAGCATTATAAAGCTCACTCTCAAATCATCACAATTTCCTCCCGACTGATTGTGTTGAACCAACAGTGAGCTCAGAGGAAAATGTGGGGATTTTGGATCCTCTTAACAAAATCATCTGTATGTCTTTAAGGGTGTATGGAGGCGAAGTCCCGCCCCTTTCCGGTGTCACTCATGGGACCTTATTTCGGAAAGAAATATGTACGATAGTCAACGGCGAAAGACGAGTTTTTAATTGTGCCATGACTTAATTTAAAAGATGATTTGGCTCGTTAAGAAAGTCTCAGTTTGGAGTAGTAACGTTTAGTTTTGTGTGAAATCGCTCAGTGAGCTTCACACAATGTACGACCACCAACATGGCCGTTAGCTTGGCTTGTTTGCTAGCTAGCTAGCTTAGCTATGTTCCAAATGTAGCGTTATCTCAGCTGAAGAATGAACAAGACCCGTTGTTGTGTGAGAACTTCGCTTAAGCCACTTTTGGGTGTTTATTCTGTCTAATTACGTAATTTTTACTTTCTTTACGTGCAAAAATGATCTTTTGAATTGACAAACATCATATGTGTCTTTCGTGGCACAATTCAAACGGGATAAAAAAAATATTTGTTTCTCGCCATCAAAAATAATCGACTGTAAAAGGGGCGGGGCTTGTGATTAAAAAGCCAGTCTAAACGTGTAGGCGTTGTTGCCGTTACGAAAATGAGAAATTGATGTACATATTTTTGTCTGAGCACGACCAACCTTATTGGGTGTGATGACCACGGACATGACGACGCCATCGTCCTCCTCTGTGGCATTAGGGGACGGTACGAAGACCGGCTCGGAGGGATAAAGACCGGGTTCTTCCCACACCTGTGAGAAAATATGGGGGGTTTACATCTGAAAACCTGTAACATCTGTAACATACATCGAGGAGAGATATAAAATCAAACTCACCTTCATGTGTTTCCCGTTGAGGTCCATCTTGATCAGTGTGTCTCCTACAAGATGTCTGAAGCCACAGCCGTAGAAGTAGCGGTAGCGGTGGGTGTTGTACTTGCCGTAGTTGATCTGAGGGAACTCCAGACCTCCATATTGATTAAGATCCTCGCCGTGGAGGTCCTCGTGGGTACAGAAGACCTGTAGGGAGGGTAAACATAGCACTTTAACCATGGTGAAATTACATCAAAGGTCATTTGAAATAAGATGAAATGGTTGGGAAGAAATACGTTTCCTGTCTTTCTAACCATTAAATCCCATTGGCTGCCTACCTTGTTCTTGCCGATTCTTATGGAAGTGGCCGTGCTGCCGGGCGGGTTCAGGTTTCTGCCGTAGCCCGTCTCTTGGTCCACATTGAGAGGCAGAATGAAGCGCCGTGGGAAGACTCGACACAAGGTGTTATACACCTGATGGGGAAATAGGGAAATCTTTTTTTAGCCTCAACAAAGCCAACTTTATGTTCATCCAAAACCAAAAAGCAACCAAAGCACTTCACCTACAGAGTAACTAAACCCCCTAAACCACCTTCCTTAAGATGAAAACTGATGTATATGTGTATATTAGTAGTGTTGTTGATGGATTCTGGTCCTAATCTTGACATTTTAGAGCAAAGTATTTGAATTCAACTATGACACGGAGGCAATTTTGTCACCAATCAGCTCCCCCTTCCTATAAAGCTAACAGCTCCTCTGTAGACTGTGGAGAGAGAAGTATTAACCGCTTTCATGAACGGTGAATTAAAATCAGTAAAGTCAAATACAACCTAACGTTTGGACAAACCGTGGAAGCATGGATTGTACAACTTGTAGGTTATGGCAACGGCGGGCCGAGATGGAAGCTAAGCTAACCCAGCTAGGATCTGAGGCTACTCCACTACCCAGCATGCTACTGGGTAGGATGTAAGACCTGGATCCATAGTGGTCCAGGATCAAGCTGCACTTGAGGGGCGGACAGCAGTGTTTGTTGTGTTACAAATGAGCTACAACTGAATTTCATTGTGCATCCCTGTGCTGCATAATGACACGAAACGATCTTTGAGTCCTTTACTTATGAACCTGCTTACCTCATCGAGGTCTTCTCCAGACTTGCGCAGGTTTTGAACGTTGTAGTTGTTGATCGCCTGGCCGTCATCTGAAGCACACATGTCTAAGACCAAGAAGCCGTTCTCCTCGTACGCGTTTATCTGGTGGAACGTCGACAGCGGCTTGGCGAGGTACTGGACGGAGCTCACCTGAAACACGGGGATTGGAAAACAGAAGGATTAGAGCGTGGCGAATAGACCTCGGGGGGAGAACTCAAAATGTCCACGTTGGGAGACTCACCACTCCGGTCTGCTTGTTGATCAGGTGGAAGATGGTGTTGAACTTCGGGTCCCAGAATACGCCGTCGCTGATGCTTTTCCCCCTCAGCTTTCCGGTCACAATCTTCAACAGGTCCATCTTTATGGGCTGCTCAATGAACACCACGTAGTTCTCGGACATCGCTATAAAGGATTTAGAAGATTATATTAGTTTCTTTACTCAAAACTCTGGAAAGGATGATTCAGTTGTAATTGGCGTTGTGGACGTGGAGCCAACACATAGGTCTTTCATTCCTAAAATCTAAATCTGTTAACCTCTATTAATAACTATTACCAAACAGAAACTGTGAAAACATGCTCCTCAAATAGAAAGATTTGCTGTAAAGTGAACACTGTGGATGCTCACAGGAACACACACCTGAGGACTGAATCTACCTTAAACGGCTCTAAAGCTTTCATTCAAACACTTATTTTTGGGCTCACCGAAGCTGTGGTAGTAGGACGGTTTGCTCTTGTCCACCGAGGGAATCGAACACAGCACCGTGGCTCCCTCCAGGGTGTCCTGTGCGGTCGTCTTGGTCGGCGGCACTCTGATGATGTTGTAGGTCGCTCCTGTCGAGATAGAATCAGTGTCTGTTTGTACATTGAAGACGATACAACAGACATGTTCGGGTGTTTTTTGTCCTTTTGACGTACCTTTAACTCCATATGAGTTCCCCATGTTGTACGTCGTTCCATCGGGCTCGGTGTGAGGGTGTGCGGTCGCTCCGTTCACTGCGATGAATTTGCTCCAGTCCACCTAATAGGTACAAATACACGAGTGCAAATACTTTAACTCTTTTACTTCTATTTCATGGTTTTATCCAGCAGCTTTATCGTACAACAGTGACCGTGATATAAGCATGTAGGTCAATGAAACGGACCTACAGATTGTGACTCTGCAGGTTTATCAGCTACAACCAGCGTTGAAAACCACGGTGTTACCTTTTTAGTGGCCTCCAGGGTCTCGGGGTCCACCTTGTGCATGATGTTGGTCTCTGTGCTGACGTAATAATCGCCTTTGTAGGTCACAAAGCTGACGTTGGCGTTATCTGTGGGCTCTAGAGGGGGGGGGAGAAGAAGCAAAAAGTTGACGACAGCCGGGACAACCACAACAATAACTCTTTTTTATTTTTTACTTTCGTATCTTTTTTTTACTTAAAAAAAAAAAAGTCACTTTCTTTTTTTTGTTTTTACAAAAAAGCAGACGGAATCAGGGAATAAACAGACAAATTTGGTCAAATTAAACAACAAAGATTTTCTTGGAATGTTGACCCGGCATCAACACATCAACTCATATATCCTGAATAAAAAATAAATAACAATAACTCTTAAGGTTGCATTCAAATATCCGCTGCTTTAAAAGTTTGTGTTCATGCCGTTTGATAGTAACAATGGCTCACTTGGTAATTCAAATCTGGACAGGAAGCGCTGGAAGAAGTTCTTGCAGGGGTCCGGCAAGTTGACCGTGCCGAACTCCGACACCGCGATGCGGTTGTGCTCCTTGTTGGCCTTGAAGCTGTCGCTGGACAGGAAGCGGCTCCTGTAGGTCACCTGTCCGCCGGATATCTTGAACTGGTGCAGGAGAGCCATGCCGTCGAACCAGTGGTTGAACCTGAGCACGTCGGAGGGCGGGAAAAAAGGAAAAGTCAGCTTCTGGGACGCAGTCAACGCGTGTTTTATTTGAAAAGAGGCATCGAGAAGATGTACTCACTTGTGGATTCCGATCTCGAACTTCCCGGGCCCGTTTCTCAAGAAGCTTCCTTCGATCCATTCGGGGATCTTGCCGGTGATGTTGGTGCCGATGGCCTCGGGGGTGTCCTCCACCGAGCTCACGATCTTCTCGATGCACGGCAGGCCGTGCACATCCGTGAAGTGGTAGATGTTCTTCCTTGACTTGGATTTCATGGGTGCTACAGAAAAAAAAGTCACATTTTCAGAACGAGACAATAATTGATGAGAAGTATAAATAGTTTTTGCAGAATGAGATGTTTACCTGGAGCATTGTTCCGGTGTGTGATGGTGTCCATGGCTGCAGCTCTGTCTCTCTCTGGGTGTGAAGTCCTTCTCCAGCACCGCCTCAGCTTTATACTGTCCTCCCCTGTGACCCCCCTCCCCTCAGCCAGATAAGTTGATTTCATCCTCTACAGACAGAAGTACGTTGTAATCACAAGATGATACAAGTAACTTATTCACAGAGATAATTACTTGATCTAAATTTAAGTGCTCCTTCCTTTTTTAAGCCCAACCAGGACGTTTTTCCTAAAGCTAATTTTAGTTTGTGTTGTGTTATAACATCCCGACACAAAAGACACTTTCAATTGAAACACGTTAGTTTAAAGTTCAGTGACACGCAAACAATAACAGATGTGTGTCCATGTAGACGAATCACCAGATAACCTTTTCTCATTCAGCCACTTGTTAGCAACCGCCTCTTATAAAGACACGTGAAAGCTTTCTAAAGTCACAGCACGGGTATTTACTGACGTGTTTCATGTCGTAGAACTAAATGTTCAACATCTGTTGAGCTTGAGTTCACCACAGACCTTATTTCAGGCATTTAACCTGAAACACAATCAACAAACACACACTGAAGAGAACTGTGAGTGTAACAGTGCCGACTCGTCTCCGGGTTTTAGGACCGATTCCTCTATAAGCGGATGATTGATATGACATTATTTTCTTTATTTCTGCATATAACCATCTGATTGACATGTGTATATTTGTATATGTATGTATATGTCATTAGTTTCCAGGAGAAAAATTACTCTTTTGAACCCGTCATAGATTTAAATGTGCAAGCAGCACCAGCTTCAGGTAGCCAGAGGAGAGCAGACGGGTTACTGAGAAGCAAAGCATCATGGGAGGAAAGTTAGAAGAAAGAAACAAGAACGTAGTTTTAAAAGAGACAAAATGAACATAATGACTAAGACGTGTGTCCATGTAATCAGCTTCACTGTTACTGTGAGGAACCTTTACCTGGTCCTGAACCAGTCTCAGTGTAGTCCTGATCCTCTATATGAACCAGACTCATTGTAGTCCTGATCCTCTATATGAACCAGTCTCATTGTATTCCTGATCCTCTACATGAACCAGTCTCAGTGTAGTCCTGATCCTCTA